CCGCAAGGGACCTTTTATTTGTTTCATCAGTATTTCTTTTTGTTAGTTTTAATGTTTGGTGGAAATGTATATGTAAAGAAACTCAAAGTAAGATGAGAGATGAAAGTGACATGAAAATGAAAGGAAAAACCCAGATGAGATCTGTTCCTCCTAACAGGGAATGGGGCAAAATCAGATTAACACAGATGATTTCTATAATTCTGAAATTATACCACAGCACTGAGTGGTGTTAATGAGTAAGCTACTGTGTAGAGTAGCTGATTTTCCACAATTTTTTTAAATTTTGAAAAAAATGGACATAAACCTAAATTACTTGTAAGGGTTTTTGCACCCCAGCTTTTTATAGGGTAATTTTTGACTAATTCTCAATAAAATATGATACTGGCTTCTAGAGTGTTTTCCTGATGATTTTTAAAAACTATTTTAAACTTATAAAAATAATTTTTAAGATCTCAGGAGGGAAAAGCAGTTTAATGGTAGACATTTCTCATGAAAATGCGATGCTCAGTTTCTAGAAAAATAGATGTTAAATTAATTCTGAATTAAGTGACACCTATTTGGTAGGTGAAAACAACTAGAAAACAAACCAGAAATGGGGAAAGCCATTGATGAGGGAATAATTAAGTAGGCTGCAAATTATATCAGGTACTCATTTTAGGAGACATTGCTATTGAAAGTCACTGGTATTATTTTAGGGTTCTTAGAAGTCCTTAATGACAAAGGAAAGGAATATTTAACTTATTAATTTTTTAGAAGGCACAGAAACTAATAATTAAGGCTTAGTTATTTAGTTCTAATCTTGAAATGATGATTATAGAACAAATCCTGAGAAAAAATCTGCTTGTGGTATAGATATCTAGATGCACATGGGGTTCTGTGAAGGAAAGGGTAGGTTTATGAAACACAATGTGTGTTAAACATTTTTAATTTCCTTCCTTAACACGATGACGTAGCTTAGAGACAAGTAGCAAAGGCCATTTAGCTGTCTTATGTTCAGGGTTTGAATTCCAACAAGTCAAATACTGTGTTTCTCAAGGAGGAAGCTTGGGAAATGTTCCTGAAGAAATTTTAAAAGGGCCCTCTCTAGTGGCACAATGGGTTAAATGCTTCACTACAAAGCTACTAGTCACAGCCACTTCAACATGAATTTGATCCCCAGCCAAGGTGACCCACATGGCGCAGCAGACCTCTCCTGACCCGCTCACTGCTCCCCTTAGCAGTGTACTTCATCAGTCTGCCTGTTCTGCTACCCACTTTGTCTCTGGTGAATCCTGTCACCACCCCTGCACCTCTGGCTTGCACCCCAGCTATGTATGCATAAATAAATAAATCTTTTTTTAAAGGAATTTTAAATATAAGAATACATTCATATATAGAACATTATCTTTTAAAAAACACTCTACTAGTTAAAAATTAAAGAAATTATTAACTTCTGTTTTTGCAATTAAAGTTACAATGGAAAGATAAATAAATAAATAACGGGAGTTTCTTAAGTCAGTGTTTTTCAAAAGTGGTTTTGGGTTCCCAGATGTGTTTCTGAGGCTGTGTTATTGGGTCCCAGCAGGAAGCAGATGGCACAATTAAAGTGGGAACTGAGAGAACTTACTGAAGGGACTGTTTGCAAAGGAGTAGGTAGGATTTAGGGAGCCACAAAGGATAGTGCATCTGGGAGCAGCTGTTATCAGCCCTGATCCACGGGGCCTGGGCGGAAGCAATCCCAGAAACCACAGAGGCAACGATATGGCAGTGGCACTGACAAGAACTTTGGTATTGGGTGGAGGTGGGAATCCTGCCATGACCTAATCTGTGGAAAGTGTGTGAACCCATGAAATCATAAGCAAATGTGTGGGTATACATGTGAATATGCTTTTCCTTGCAAAGTTCCATAGATTTTTACCAGTGGTAAAATGTCCAATAGCAAGTCCCTAATATTAAGGGCTATTTTTTCAATAGAAGAAAATAAAAATCAAGCTGACTTTGCTATATTCCTGAAGGTAGTAGTTCATAATCCTTACTAAGCACCTACAGGGTACAAAGAACTAAATAATATTTTCCACTGGGGTAAAAATAAATTGGGAAAAGTTGGTGTATTTTGGACTGAAGATTGAGTTTTCAGTCCTAAGGAATTGTTACATTTCAGTTGTGTAATGTGTTTGTGTTTGAGAGTGAAACATGGAATGTAAGAGTTGATCATGACTGTTAATGAGCACACACAGCAAATTTGAATTAAGATGAATGTGTTGCTCTGAGAGATTAATCAAGTGATAAAATTTGGATAGAAATAACCTAACAGGAAGTCAGCAATGCATTTGTTTATTTTGTGTGATTTATATGTATATATGTAATTTTATTCTATATATACATACATGTATTATGTGGGTGTCCCAGAGTCTAAAACAATTAATATAAACATATAAATATATACACTGATTTATACACATATATTTATGTATATATGCAATGTATATATGCAATATAATCATAGTCAGCTCAGGGGCTGCCCTAACAAAACAGTTCAGGTGGCATAACAACCAAAATCTATTTTCTCATAGAGCTGGAGGCTAGAAATCCCAGATCAAAGTTCCAGCTCCTCTTGTCTCTAGTGAGAACTCTCATACTAGTTTACAATGGCTAACTTTTCACTGTGTCTTCATATGACTTTTCCTTGATATGTGACCACAGAGAAAGAGTAAGTTTCCTGGTGTCATTTCGAATAAGAACCTATTGGATCAGGACTCCATGCTTAAGTTTGCCTGTAACCTTGACTATTTAAATACAGCCACACCATAGGTTAGAATTTCAATATGTGGACAGGAGTTTGGGAGGAGGTACAATAGGGAGAGGAGACCATGCTTAAGTTTGCCTGTAACCTTGACTATTTAAATACAGCCACACCATAGGTTAGAATTTCAATATGTGGACAGGAGTTTGGGAGGAGGTGCAATAGGGAGAGGAGACACAAAATTCAGTTTATAACAATACACAGAAATATATACTATGCATAACTCTTTCAGTTACTTTGTTTTAATAACTTTTAGTTGTACTATACAAGTTGCTGGGTATATAAATGATAAAGATTTTTTTCTCTTTTGCTGGAAATGTTTAAAATTTACTCTAAGCAAATTTTAAGAATATAATTCAGCACTAAAAATTATAGTCACTCCTCAGAATTTATTCATATAGACTAAAAAATTGCATCCTTTGATGAATTTGACCAGTATTTCCCCTGCTGCACAGCCCCTGGCAATCAGGCAAGCAGTGTTCTACTGTGCTTTTATGAGTTTGCCTTTTTTTCTTTTTTTAAGGCTCTACATATAATGATACAATGCCTTTGCTTGTCTGGCTTGTAAAATTTAGTAAAATGCCCTCCAGCTTAATCCATATTGTGAAAAATGGCATGATTTTCATCTTTTATGACTGAATAGTATCCTAGTGTGTGCATACACATATTTTCATGTGTTCTTTATCTGTCCACCAATAGACACAGATTACTTGGTAGCTTCCATTTAGGCTAAAAATATATGAAACAAAGTAAAAACCCCACTAATGACTGCAATATGCTTCTACTTTACTTTTTGCTCTGCTCTTTGCAATTGGTGATTATTGGGGTGCCTTAAAAATAGCACTCCAAGCATATCTATTGCCAATAAATTTCCAAACAGATGGTATCTTTCAGGGAATTATTTATTGTCATTGATTATAAAGATGCAAATACTTTGCATCATAGTGGATGTTAAACTTTAATTGAGCCACAACCATATATGTACACACCATACCACAGTATACAAGACTGTAAGCCATCTACCACCCAACCCAGTAACTCCTATGTGTGCCAGCTTTGTTTAGCTTAATGATTTATTTCTTTATTATTTATGCATAGAAGAACTGGGATGTAGGCTAGAGGTACAGAGGGTGAGAAGATTTACCGGAGAGAGTGGGGAGCAGAACAGGCGGATTTACTGAAATACACTGCTGAGGGGAGCATCATCATATGAGGTCTTGGCCACAGGGTGATAGTGCTGAGACTTACCTCTACTATACCAGGGAGGCCCTCCGTGTCAGCTTTAGAAGAACTCCAGGGCAACATCAAACCAGAGAGAGTAGTGAAGCCTATCAATAGCCCTACACTGGCTATTGGGGGCAAACTGGATGAAGGTGTGGCAGGGCCTGGGTCCAGCCTACTGCAAAGTCACACAAGAGGATGACTTGATCATTTTGGACTCATATCTAAGTCCAGTTTTCACTAACTTCTCAGTCTGTTATGTTAATACTGAAATTAGATTAAACAAACAACCTCCTCAAAAAAGCATTTCCTTAAAAAAGAGAAAAAATGCTAGAAGGTGTTTTAGACATCTGTAATTTCTGAAGAATAATAAGGCTCATTCTTTGCATTAGAGAGTCTTATATTCAAAGATAAATATGTGACCTAGAATTGTTATATAGTCTGTAGTAAAATCATAAATGTAGGCAAACAAAAGCCTCTAATCGTATTCCTGGTGCACTGAAATCATTTACAAGGAAAAAAAATGAAGTATGGTCACATTTCCCAATGGGTAGCTTTTTCATATAGACCTATATCACACTAAGACTTTTTTCTATAAATATTTTGAATGTGCATGATCAATTTCTGTCACTTGTCCAACACCTAGAAGTGCCTGACAACGTTCTAACATGAATTTCTGGATTGGTTTCAGAAACAGAGTATGAATGTAACCATATCTACAGTGGCTGGTCTATTTTGATGTGAGCTTAATTAATGCTGCACATGAAACTCCAAATGTCACAATCCAGGAGTTTTACAATTTTAATTATTAGACTGTCTTAGTTAACTTATTCTAAAATGAAATTTGAATTTCACTTCATGTATTAAATTCTTCTGCAATAAATTTTTTTATGAACAGAGGGGTTTTATAAAACCACTCTTATGTGATCTGAACATATGGATAAGAATTATATGAAAATGCCACAAATAATATATAACCCCAACACTACAACTTGAATCACAGACTTGCAGGGAAGGATTGGCTGCCCGGTGATGATGTCTGGTCACCAAGTCTAAGCCGCTGTTTGATGAAGTTGGAGATTAGCAGCTGAGGTCGTTGTTGGTACTCCACCAGAACATCATGGGGCAGGTTTATCTGGTCACCTTCAAGTCTGTCCAGAAGTGTCACACAGACCACAGCAGCTAGAAGAGAAAGCAATGTGATTCTTGAACAAATGGGTTTCTTTTGTAGAGAAAAATCAGTCAACTCCCTCAACATTCTCATCACATGTATTTTTGCTCTTTTCTCTGAAGGGTACTGGCAACCCCAAAACCCTCTAGCTGTCTACATAATTCATATTTCTATGGAATCCCACCAAGCACTACATCTAAATAAATTAGTTCTACAATAGATTAGATGAAGGCTTTGGAAAATTTTGTGTGCGGGGGAAGCCCAAGAAGAGATTTTAGCCAACCAAGGCACATAACATCTCCAGCTTTTAACCCATTTCTACTTCATAGCAAAAGCTCTTCTTGAGGCAAACAAGCCATTACTCCTGAAGCAACGTTTTACTCCTTAGTACAATATTTGCCTTTACTTCCTGCAGGCCTTGCAGAAGAGTAGAGAAAAGAGCTGGAGCTCAGACCTCAGGAAACACAGTGAGGTGAGTGTTGGCCCTGAGGGAATTTGAGGTGAGAAATATGACGAGAAATGTATAAATCTTAGGTTCTTCTTCAACAGAAATTTTAATCTTTTATTTCTACAGAATACAAATCAACTATATAAGAAACTAAGGGTAAAGAACGCAAGTCTTGGGCCTCCCTGGTGGCCTAAAGTTGATCCGCAGTCAGGGAGTTAACTCACATGATGCAGCAGACCTCTCCTATTTTGCTTACTGCTCCCTGTAGCCATATATTTCAGTAGATCTGCCTCTGGTGAATCCTCTCATCCCCCCTACTTCTGGCCTAAACTTCAGTTCTTCTATGCAAAAGTAAAATAAATAAAAACTAAAAACTAAAAAAAAAAAACTTTTTTTTTTTTTTCCTGAGGGGGGAAATAAAAACTCATCTTTGAAAAATACCAGTGTCCAGATTGTTCCAGCAGGAAAAACCAGTGAGGGAACTAAAGTTCCCTACAAATTCTGCATTGTTGATTTTTACATGAAATCATGGATTTCAAGGAATGTGGTTATCCACATCGAAATTGTTATCAATGATTTTTAACTGAACAAGTGTAGTAAGATACATCTTCATCTGAATCATCTTAAAAAAGAACTCCAGTGTATATGGGATAAGATATAGCCACATTAACAAACTTTTAGAGCATAGAGATAAAATTGAGCATGACTGAAATATTTATTTCTTTGACCTCTCACTATTTCTGACTTCTTTGTAAGATCTGGATGTGGAGAGGAGAAATGTACTGTAATTATCATAGAGGCTATCTTTGTTCCTAGTTCAGCTCTTGCTATATGCTGGGTGTTGATGGTATCACTTAATCCTTACAGCTGTACCATGAGCTAGATATTATGTTTATCCCCTTTTGACAGATAATGAAATGAGAGCTTTGGGAGGTCAGGCAAATGGCCCAATGTGACACAGCTAGTAAAAGGACACTCAATGTGCAACTTGCTCAACTGCTGGAGGAGTTCTCCACCTTCTATCCACCCCTGTCCTGAGCTGGCACCTGGTGAATCATTAGGCCAACCTGCCTTGACCTATGGTCCAACTGACCTCCCTGTTCAGTGAAGTGAAAATATTCAGCTTGAACTGAATCAAATATTTCATGACCTAGGGCTCTATTTATTCAAAACTCACTCAGTTGTAAAACAACTGGGCTGAACAGGTAAACAAGCAACAAGGAAGGGCTAGAAACTTCAGCTTTTCAAGTTAATGATCTGCAAGACTGTGAAGGCTGATACAGGCTGGCGATAGTGGGGAAGAGTTGAAAGTCCTTCTCTAATCCTTCACTTGGCAGAAGGATCAAAGGAAATCATTGGTCTGTACTTTTCTCAGAGTGGGAGCTGACTTGACTAAATATCTTTCTGGCAATTTCAAGGGTAATGCCAAAGATGGAAAAGAACAGGTCATAGCAATCTTGGTGGTGTTTTCTTAACCCTGAAGGACCCATTAACATGTAGCATATAATAATCTTGTCACCTAAAGTTACTATTTCCATGAGCAATTAAAGGGACTAATTACTCAAAACAATTTGTCAAAATTAAACCTGACAGCCTTGCCACCATCACCCTCAGAATGAGCAGGAGAATGGCTTCTGAGGAGGGACTCGTCAGTGAAATAACATCAGGCTACAATGTGACAGGAACACACCAGTGTGAATCTGGGGCTCAATGCACCTAGTGGATGGAATTCCCAGAGATTTATAACTCTCACACCATTTAGGGCTCCTTTGAGAATGTGATTAAAGTAGTAATTAGAACCTCTTTTTACAAAAATTCACACATGCATGTATATACAACATATTCATGTATAATCTCAGGGGCTTAGGGGCTCCCTGAAGCCCATCCAGGATCCTGTGGGAATAATTACAGCTCTGTGGACCCCCACTTTAGCCCCAACTCTCTGATTCAGAAAGGACTTTCAGGCAGATTTTCCCATGAACTGTAGAGAAAAACAGGGGTCAAACGGGCTGAACCTTGGAAGATGGCAAGACAGCAGTGGTCAGCTCTGGGTTCCCAGGCCAGCCTTTGTGGGGAATCCTCTTCCACCTCTCCCCAACATTTTTCATGACCTGGAGAGCCCATTTTTACTCCCTGAACACCTGGTATATGAAGCACAGGAATTTCACGAACCCAGACCCTCTGTACCTCCTCTTTCTCTCTTAAAACCTAAGATTTAGGCCCTCCTTGGTGGCGCAGCGGGTTAAAGCACAGCACTAAGAAGCTAAAGCCACTTCCACATGAGTTTCATCCCCGCCTGCCCCAGATGTGACCCACATGGCCTGGCAGACCTCTCCTGATCCGCCCGCTGCTCTCTTCAGCAGTGTACTTCGTCAGTCGGCCTGTTCTGCTCCCCACTGTGTCTCTAGTGAATCTACTCACCGCCCCTGCATTTCTTGCCTGTACTCCAGTTCTGTATGCACAAATAAAATAAAATCTTAAAAAAAAAAAACCTAAGATTTAAAACAACCTCAGACTGTTGGCTGCTTATTAAAAACCAAGTAGAGAAATTGTATATTTAGAGGGGCTGATTAAAGCTAAGAGGTATTGTTATAGGGCACCCCAATTCTGTTAGAGATCAGGGGGAGAGGGGCACCCCTGAAGCCCCAAAACCTGCCTGCTCTAAGTGGGTCCTGCCATCTGCCGCAACAAGACAAAACATATAAAACTTCATTGAAAAGGGACTTTAATACAGTAAATATACAATACGTAACACAAAGAATATAACTTCTAAATCAAACACCTGAAGTTACCCATCCCTTCGTGGCCAAAAGTCAACCCAAAAGGGATTGGTCCAAAGCAAGGCCTGAAAGCCTGCCACTAGACTAAAGCACCTTCTGATGGGGACTCATGGAAAAGGGTCAGAAATGGCCAGACAAATCTGAGAGCAAAAGAGCAACGTCAAAATCAATATAAACACTGCCATAGTCACCTCCCTACAGGTATCTCATCCACATCTGCCTTAACCAGTCCAGGGTCAGAAAACAAGCACGGTTTCTTCATCACATGCTTGCTGCTCCATGTGGCTTCCTCAAGTCTCCTGGCTCTCCATCCTGCTTCATTCTCCTCTTCTCCCTTCTCTTCTCTCCTTTTTCTCTGCTCAGCTCCACCCTCCTTCTGGGTGGGGCAGGGAACCTGGAACTTGCCTTTTTCCTAGGGACCACCCTGTTAACAATATGAGAACAATGTTTTTCTAGATGGGTATTTCTTAAAAAGTACCCTGCTGGCCACCTGCATCAGAGCCAGAGCTTGTGACTGATGATTTTGGATATAAAGAATTAGGGTTGAAGGGTGAGAGAAGGCAGTGACGTTGCATTAAAAGAACATTTCTTGGGATCATGCTTAGTGAAATAAGCTAGAAAGAAAAATACCAGATGGTTTCACTCATAGCAGGAGTATAAAGGACAAGGGGAGAAAATAATAATAATCATAAACAACTACATACCAGAGACATTTTACACAGGTGGAGTGGGGAATGGAATCAAAAATGGTAGAGGGAGAGAAGTACACTGGACTATGGTGAGGGCAGATGGGTGATTGGCGATGGGAAACCCATGGGGATTACAACTGAGATGAAAAAAGGCACAAAATGATTAAAAATAAACATATGATTTTTTAATGAATAATAGTTTTATTTTAAACTACTTAAAAATCCTTCTTTGTTAAATTATTTACACATTATTATTTGAGAACTGCTGGCCTTAAGCTTTAAACTTGATCATAAATTAAATGTACCACAAATGTACATACCTGGACCCTAATAGGTTAGGTTCCCAAAGAAATGCCGAAGCAGATAAAACCACGATTTAGCATTATTATCTATCAAAAATTGCCCCATATCATTTCTGAGTACTATTGAAGACACTGTGATATGATATCCACTTACATCCATTGTAACACAACTAATAATTTTATTGAAATTTAACATTTGGATAAAGTTGAATATTTGGATAAAGTTTTAAGGATAAACTTCAAATCCTTTTTTACTAGGTAATGAAGGCTGTGTCATTCAAAGTGCCTCCATTTTCAACTTGGCTTCCAGGAAACTCGTAGCTAAATCTAAAGATGTAGATTTAGCGTTGTACTCCCAAATTTATCAACAGCTACATAGGAGGCTTTTTACACTCTGTGGAATTGTGGAGGAAGCGGGACTCAGGAGACTTGAGGTGGAGACCCTCTGTTGGTCTCGCTATGTCTTTAGGCCAATCACCTCTGCTCCAGAGCTCATTTCATTCTCTGAGAGAGGAGCAGGCTGGACCTCAGTAATGTCTCCCTAGTCACATCTTCAGGTTTGTGCCTCACCTCATTTTTTTTTTTTTTTTGATCCGAGAAGCATGCTGCCAAGTCCAGCAAGTCCACTTGCATCGTTGTGGACTTGAAATTCTGCAGGATACTGTCTCCCCAAGCAGAGATGAGTCTCCCTACCAGAAGGCATGGAAATGAAGCCTGATGTGCTGGGATGGAGGACCCACTAAGGAGGACTGAGGAAGCTTCATTGGGGTTACAGAGGAGAGTAGGAGGGCC